TCATTTAAAAAAATACGTCACATTATATCTGATGGCTTTTAGATTGGAATAGATTACCCATTCAAGGCAAGCAAACATTTGTAAATGGTTTGTATAAAGGTATTTTTGTTTGGACTTTTGTTTTCGTTGAATTTACGCCATTTTGACCAGCAGATGTCGCCAGCGTGTGGTGTTGCGAGCGCTTCGAAACAGTGAGTCATTTTGTGAATCAATTTGTTCAAACGTTTCAAAAAGCTTTACCTAACTGTTACGTGGGTGCTTAGACTGACCACAACGTAATAGAACATTTTCATAAATACTTATTTTATTATCAAAATCTCTAAAACCAGGTTTAAACATCCATCCATTTCAGAAAAAGCAAACAACATAACTTCTTTAAAGAAAGAAAACCAAAGAAAACTCGAAATAAATCCACTCTACATAATCCAATCATTTCACCAAATCGGACAAATAAAATCAAAACCGAGGCAATCTGTTAAAAACACACAAAAAATAAATCAATTCACATATATAATAATACAGAAATAATATACACGTTTAAATAAATAAATAAACACTTCATACCTTTAAACCCCTAATTTCATGCTCAGGCCGCTCTGGTCATATGGCTCGGGGTTCCTGGGAGCGCTCAACACACTGGCGCCAGTGTCTAATTGAAGAGAATTGGCACTGGCTGGTTACTTCCGGGTTCTGGACTGGCTGCAGTAACGCGTCTCTGTCCATGAGGGGGCGCTCGGGGTCGAGTGCAGAATGAATGGGAGTCAATGGGGTTTCACCTCCAGAAATCTACTTTTCTCAGGATGTAATTTTTTGTCAAGTAATTTTAAAGTTGCATTCAAAGGGGAGGGCTAAGAAAATACACTCAGCTGAAAATTGCATTTTTAAGTTCACTTATCTGTTCTAAAAATCCGTTCAAAAATGTGATGACGTCACGCAATAGCAGAATGCTAGCGTGTTCCGGCCAACAACCTGTAAGAAATCAAAAGGACATAAGTACTCGTTCATTCGACTTTTGGCCTATAATCTATATTGAACTTGCGGAATCAATAATAAAATCTATTTTTATTTAACAACAAGCTGGTGAAAGAGACACTTTTAGCCGTTTAGCCCTATAGACTCCCATTCATTCTGCTCTCGCCCGCGATCACCTCCAGTGGCATTCTAATGGAACTGCAACCAAGATGATACACAACGGGGCTAATAGGAAGTCTCTCCGTTAGACAGGCTCTGCTGGCGTCTTCCCCGCATGAGTTTGGTGCATCACTTAAATTAGTCCGTGCTTGTCCCCCTTAAATATGTGCAGTTCCTCCCCCCACCCCGGTTGACCAGAGCTCAATGCCACATAACATTAGACTGATTGGAATATTCCAGCATGTATAGGTTAATTTTTGTTGGAAGAGCTTCACCAAATTTGTGTGGTATTAGAAGTAGATCACCAGATCGAAGGTGTTGAGCAAGTTGAGTTCTGGTACCCTCTGTATCAGTTCCTGGTTTGTTCTTTGCTTAGTTCTTCCCCTCTAGGTCATATTCATCTGATAAATCAGGCAACTGTGAGTTTGTGCAGCTAGTACCAAGACATTCCCCGCAAATGGCATTGCAAGAGAGTCCATGTTTTTTTGCATGTGGATCTCTTTGTGCTGTGGTCTTTCTTGCAACTACAGCGGACTACATAGTATTTCTGGTGGTGCCGCAGGCTGGTCGGTCATTATTGTCATACATCTCCCATCCAACACATGCCACGCCACGTCTTTTGGGTCCATATGTTCACTTCCCCCTTTCCACTCCATCATTTGGTAAAAGACCCAATGACTACGTATTTCCTTAGCCAAATAGATGAGATGTAGATTCACAGCCTAAATGGCATGGATAAAGAGATTGTCAAACACCTCGGGACCAAGTAACTCCTTCGTCTGCTTTATGCACAATGTCCGTCTTGTGTTGCTTTCTTTGGCTCTGGTGCCAGAAACAGCTCCAGTGCATTCAGATCAGTATGATGCAACAAGAGTACCAACAAGCCTGTGTCATCCCCTACTAAGACTGTGTTTTTTGTTCTGGCAGAGACAATGGCAGTTTGGACAATGAGCACATCTGCATCGTGCTTTGTAGGGCTGCCCCCAAATAGTCGACTAAATGTTAGTCGATATGAGGAGGGCTTGGTCGAATACATTTTCATTAGTCGGTTAGTCGCAAAAAAAAAAAAAATATATTACTTGGAAAAAATTACGCAATCAGGGGCTGCGCAGTCAGTGTATGACATGACATCAAAGCAACCAGAGATCAACGAGATCTCGTGCCTCGCGGTATACCAAAACGCACTTGTGGGAGAGGTATCGGAAAATATCGCGACCAACAAGCTGTTGTCTTAGACCCACGTTTAAAGAGCTTGTCATTCTTTGACCAACACGAGCGAGAAGATGCGTACTCCACAGTGTCGGATCTGACAGAAATTTTATCTACAGAAGCTGCGCGCCAGAAAGTGATCATGACAGTATTAGCCTTGCGGAGGGTGAGCTCGAAACCGAATAAGGAAAATTGATGAGGAAGAGCATGCAGAAGAGAAGGATGAACTAAAAATGTACTTGGCAGATAAAACAAAGGTTGATTCGGGACCATTGGCATGGTGGCAAAAAAATTAACATCGATATTCAAAGCTCGCTAAAGCAGCTAAACGCCTCCACATCCACTCCATCAGAGCGCATCTTTTCAAAGGCCGGCTTCATTGTGAACATGTCGAGAAGCTCCCTTCTTCCCAACAATGTGGACAAGCTGGTGTTCCTCTCACATAATATGAAAAAAATTAAATCGAATTGAAAGCTTAGGTAAGAATAATTAATTTCATTTTTGAAGTGTTTCTGTTTGCGATCCGTTAGGCTATATAAAAAACAAAACCAAAAAAACGGATATTTTTATAACGGTTAGGCTATACAAATAAATAAATACTATTTTTATTTATTCGTTTTTATATAATGCAGAAGTCGTTTTTTATTCTAAGAAAAATTAGTCTGATGTTTGCAATTTGTTGTTTCAGGTTAAGACTCATCCATCGTCTTAAATGGCAGTTTGCGGCTTTGCTCTGATATTTTTGTCCTTTAAATTAGCATATTTGTTCCACATTTTTTTTAAATATAGCCTAGTTGTTCTAAACAATTTAATCAAATACTTAGGCTGTTGATTTGTTTGCCGCCTTCTTTTTTATTCGCAATATAAGTTTTGGCGTTCTGCGATATGCCATGTGCATTTATTAAATTGTTCGTTTATTAATTTTCCTTTTGAAAAATATAAAAAAATATATTAATTTAATTTTCCACTGTTTTATACCAAACAGTGTTTTTGCTACAGTATTATTTATTTTTTGCCTTGTTTTGTACTAGGCCTAAGTTACTAATAAGTTTATTTAATTTATTTTAAAGAACGAAATTTATTTTATTTTATTCAAAACTGTTTTTTTTTTCCATTTAACTGTTACAGTTTGTATTTTTGATAATAAATTATTAAAATGCACACTTGCACAGGCAGTCTGATTGCTGTTTTTTTATTCTACAATAACGTGTCGTAAGCGTTGTATACTTTAAACGCTTTACTATTCTGTTTTAAGCGCTTAATTTTCAGTTTGAACGTGCTAATATCATGCTTTAGCATTTTCTGTCATATGGAAGTGTTAAACTTCAACTTTGGACTATTCCTTTCCTTGTATATACGCAAGCTTTTATATTAATATCATAAATGAACGATTATTCGACTAATCGCTAAAATGCAGGAGTGTTAGTCGACTAGGAATATCTTTAGTCGGGGGCAGCCCTAGTGCTTTGCATGGTCTGTGATACACCCAGCCCTCTCAAGTTTATCACTGAGATAAACCATGAACCGTTGTTTGTATTCCTTATTGTTGTAAGAACTGGTCCTTTTTGTATTGGATGATCATGTCACCAGAGAAGTGTACTATCACACCGGGAGTTACACCTGTTCGACGCAGTCGAGTGCTGTCTTTTAATGTTGGTTCTTCTTTGTAGCCATCAAAGACTATGCCAGTAGGCGTACCATATTTCTGTGTGACATATCTGATGTACATTTCACACACACTGTCATAAGTGGACCCTTGTGGCCATGGTAGACGATGTAGTAATGCATTCGCATCAAGGACATGCTGGGCATCACTGCTGGGTTGTCTTTGCTGCTGCTCTATAGATTCCCAGAGGACATCAGCAAGATTTGCCTTGTTTGCCTGTAGGGGGCAGTAGGATGCTTCAAACAAAGCTGGCAGGTGACTGCAGAGTTCATACTTGAACAGTGATGGCAAATCTTCACAGCAGTCTCTCACTGCAACAAGCCGCTGGAATATCAGCTGTGGATCCACTACCACTGTCTCTCCTTTGATCTTGACAGCTGATCTAGATGACTAACTAAATGTAACACTTGTGTCGATTGACAGGCACTGATAATATACTCATTTACTAATATCTATTTTATAGGCCAGTAGGTTCGGCTCGGAAGGCTTACATTAAACAGCTTTACTTTGTGAGGAAATAAATCTGTATTTAAAATAAATAGATGTTTAGAGAATGAAGTAAAAGAAAGACATAATTAAAGGAACAATGCGAAGGAATTGCTGCTATCTAGCGGTGAACATGTATTTTGCATTCAAACAAATTGTGCTCTCCAGCGCCTTGCTTTTTCAATGCTCGGTAGCCGTTATGTACCAAAAAGCTATGACTGGATAAGTACTTCATGGAGTGCTCCTTCTGGTGTACAAGTTTGTTATTTCACACAAACAGCAACTTGACACATCAAACAAACAAATGTTACAGTATGAATTACTGACTGTGAAAAACATGAACTATTGTAATAAGTAGTTATGCCTTCTTTATTAGTTATATTTTCTGAAGTATGTGCATTATTAGATATCATCATCAACTTTAACTATAAATGTTCATCTGTCTATATAATAAAGTACACAACCAAACAATGAAAAAAGCTTGTAATTAAGACTGTAACATTGATTTACCTGTCGAGAAAGCAGGACTTCAGCGTCTCTTTTGACCTCTTTTCCTGCATTAGCTCTCCACCTGGAAAAAGCGATCCCGACATTAACTCTTGTTTTTTGTAATCTCCGGTTACGTTTCTGTCATGGCTTTAGAACGAATGACAGGAAGAAAATGCAAGTTAACAATTTATTGATAAGGATCAGAAGTGCAAACAGATGATATACCGTGACGCAGGGACAAGATGGTCAGGATCCGTGAAGAAGTGCGGTGAAGAGATGATGGTGAGACGAACGTAGAAATCACTAGATCCAGACAAAGAACAGGAACACAAGGCAGGAACTGGACACGGAACACCAACACGAACCACATCAAACAACGATCTGACAAGGAATGATAGAACAGCGATGAGTATAAATAGTGTGGTGAGATTGATTGAGGCTGGTGATGTGGATGATGATCAGCTGTAGTGGATCAGGTCATACACTCACGCCCACTACACACGTGCATTCACACAACAACATAAACACGAGACTAGAAGGAACAGAGAATGTGTCTACCGTGACAGTTTCCTTTTACAATCAATTTTTTTGACTTTTTTGGCGACGAGGATTTGCAATGCAGCCTTTTAAACTTGCCGGGCCGTGAAGCGCCTCTCACCGATCTGCTCCTCCGCCTGTATCTGAACGTAAACGTGCTGTGGTGGCCTAGTACTTTATGTCCCTCTCTGTTATTATAGTTTTTCAAGATGGAGGAACTACATCGAAGTCTCAGTGGACTTACCCGTCCCATTTAAATAAAGATAATAAATTCTTTGTTTACAAGGATAAGTCAGATAATTGGCAGAGGTATTTGTACACCTTTGAGGACATATTTATGAATAAAAATATTAATTTTAAATAATAAAATACATTAAAAAAGTACACATTGTCCCTTTTAACAGTATTCACAGTATCATTTAATACTAGATTGTAATAACAAAGAAACTCAAATCAAATGGCAGAACAATCACTATTTCTTATTAGTTTATTATTTTAACACTCTTTAATGTATTCCTTTTTATAATAAATTTAAATGATAGAGGGTTACATAAATGTTTTGTTTTATTTGTTTGTTTGTTTGTTTGTTAACGTCATTTAATTATACTAGTAAATTCCTTCAAACAAGAATTGTGGGTGTGTTTTTCTTAACACTGTTTTAATTAACTTCACAAACTGACACGTCACTTAGGCTACACACACTCATGCATCTAATAAACCACGACTCTTGACATCCTGTTGATACAGTTTAGATAAACGAGTTCTTGATGAGATCTGTAACTGGCTGGATGCCACACTTTCATAGTTTATTTCTGACTAAAAGTGTTTTGTTATTTAAAACAGTTTGAGAGCTTTACTGAAAATGTTTATCGTAATCCTTTTATTCTGCATATGGCATCTTGTTGGTAAGTAGGCTACAAATTGTCTATATTTATTGACAACTGTAATCTAATATAGCTATTATTTCATGTCATTTTTAGATAAAGATGCTATCTTTGATTTTACTGTGAGAAGTTGTTTTTTTGATCACTGTTTTGGTGCATGATTGACAGATAGATTTAGTTCCCTTCCTGTATAAACACTTTATATCCATCATTGAATTATTCATATGTAGCACCCTCTTCCCTCTCAATTATGACATACTTGAGCTCTTAGGGCGGGTACTCGGGTTCGAATTTTGCAGTCTCTCGACTAAACTATAAGGGAACTCACTTAACACCCTTTAGCACAACTCCCTATTTCCTCAGTTTAGCTATAATCAGGCATTTTATGAGAATAACTTAACCCAAAAGAAATATTCAATTTAACTTCCAAACAAACCAATCAGTAAGACTTGATGAAATCACAAGTAAACGATTACAATGTTTATTAACAAAAAAATGTGAAATTAAATAAAAAATAGAAAATTTGAAACAAAAGGGAGAATAAATAAACAGTAGGCCTAAATTACAATTGACTGTCTATTTTAAAATTGTCACAACAGGTCGGTTGGGATCCTAAAATTATATACAATTTCTCAGATGAATGTACTTTTAGAATTGAATATCAATCACAGATGAATATGAATTATACAGTTGAGTATGACTCTTTTTACCCAATAATAAATCAAATGTCTCTCAATTTGATCTTTACACTTTTTTAAATGCCCATCTATTTACAGATAGGCTAAATGAAACTTCCCTTTAACAGAAAATTAATAATAATAATTCAAACACCCCTCAGGAAAATCAACGGCAGTTATAATTTGACAGATAATCATATTAACTTTAGTGGGCCCACACACACACACACACAGACACAATCACGCTCACCCCTCGTTGCAGGCCTGTAACCGTTGCTCGAGTGCTTTGTGGCCGTAAAACAAAAAGAATAATTGGCCGCTTCACTCCGAAGAGGCAAATAAATATTAAAGGTGATACCTCAACTCCGTAGTGAAGAGTCCTCCCTAGGAAACTTTAATCACTCAGTTCTCACTGATATGCGCGTCCTGGCGATCCTCGCAATCCCCCGTTGCCAGGGGAACCCTGAACCTCTCGGTGATTCAGGGCGTTACCTGGATCGTGCAGCTTCTCCTTATCACGGCTATTCACGCTGGTATTTAAAGTCCACTTTAGTATTTAGCTACTTAGCCACTATTTCGTTTGTACTACTTGTAGTAAGCACTAACTCGTCTGGAACTCACACAAGTGTAATGCTAAACAGAAAGTCAACTCAGCGTTCAGCTTACAGCCAGCAAACCTTACGAAAACAAAACAAATGCTGCTAAATCAATACTTTTCTAATACTTTCAATACTTTTCGTTGCTCAAAGAAATAAAATCGTGATTCTCTCACACATACATCGGCGCGCTTCGACACACCTTCCCCCTTCTCAAGAACCAATCAAACTTCACATTACATAGATATCAGGTGGGCTTATTCAAAAATTCACCAATGAATAACGGACAAACACTAACTTGTTGGTAAAACCCACGTTTTTCACATGTAAATTAGAACCAAACTAGCAAGCGAAACGATGCTCTTAAAGGGGTAGATACCCGTAAAGACATTGTAAAGAACTATGTAATTCAGTACCCAAAACATTATCATTAAGATACTTTTGTTTAACTGTGAGGAGAAATCCCAGGGTTACACATACATTAAATTGTATAACATATGAGACAATTGAAAGCAAATTATCTTAAGATACTAGGGCTGAGTTTTGTAGTCAGTAGTGGCTCTCCGAGGCCTCCATTAACGTCAGATTTAACAGCTGAATGTTCTTCAGAAATTCTTCTCGAAATCACATTTTTAAAATTAGGCTACCTTAAATACAGGTTGAGGAGTTCGATTAAAATGAGAAATATCTGATTTGTAGTTGTTTTAGCATATTTTAATTAGATGTTAAGCTATTAAGTTCACCAAAACAGAAGCTGCTGTAGGCTATACTTTTATTTCGTTCTATATTACATTAAGAGTTCTTTTCTAATGTTTAATTAACTATTGAATCAATTGACTACAGAAAATGACCTCATCTGTGTCTGATGAACTGTTCCTCTTGATTCTGCAGGAGTGTTTGGTTCCACAGATGAAGTGAAGTCAGTGTCAGTGATGGAGGAAGATTCTGTTACTCTAAACTCTGAACTCACAGACACACAGATCGTTGAAAACATCGTGTGGAGGTTTAACAACAGTCGCATCGCTACAGGGATCAAGAACATTCAATATGATAATGATGAGAGATTCAAAGACAGACTGAAACTGGACCAGACTGGATCTCTGACCATCAGTGACATCAGAACCACAGACTGTGGACTTTATAAACTAAGAACCTTCATCAGTAATGAGGAGTTCATCCGGAAATTCAATGTTACTGTTAATGGTGAGCATTACGTGTGATTGCTTATATCTTTGTCATATTCAAAATGTGCATATTATTGACATAACCCATAATATTTAAAGATTATTTATTAGAAATCCTGAAGACACACTTCAGATGTAGTTTATTTTTTTTATTTTTTTTATTTTTTTTTACTTATTCTAATATTTTAAGTATATTTATCAAAACAACATAATTAAAATAACCAAACAGTAGCTGTCCAGTCCATGAGAAACATCCAGGTCCACATTATATTACTTTCCACACATGGGGCAAAAAGAACACACATTTGAACTGAAATAGTTTATTATTAAATAAACATCTTCCATGTGTCATGAGCATCAGTGTATGTCAGATCCATTATGCTCTTACAGAAGGATATATATTACAGCAATATTCACCATTAAAAGAACTGAGTATAGCCAAACTCTGGGAGAGATGATATGGGTGAATTCCTACACATCCACATTACATTACAAATATTTCATCAACTTAACATCAGAGAAAAATAACTTATAATTAAATATTCAAAATATTCAAAAGTGCAATTTACTGAAGTACAACAGGACAGGATATGCATTTTGATAAATACACAATGTCATGAATTTATATTTGTTGAGTAACTTAATGCTTAGGGAATTTTCACCTGAGATTTGGAGCCAGGGAATTACAGGGTAAAATTACAGAAAGATGGCAGAATCATTATTTTATTTCAACACAGACATTTGTAATTCTATAATGTATTAAAATCTGTTGACTTTAGCAATCTTTGTTTCACTGTTGGCAACAGTGACAGTTCAAAAATAGGGGGGGAAAAACACTTTTTGTACTGCATCTCGAGAATTATTAAAGATACCTTATTATCCTTTTATATTTAGAATTTTAACAAACGTTTATTTTGGTATCATAAATGCCCTCAAAGGTTCAGTCCTAGAAATATAGAGATCTAAATGTCCCTCCATGAGTAAATTGGCCAATTGTACACATGTAGTCAGAAATCAATTGTGGGTCTCTTTGCATATACAGTTGATCATTTTTACATCTTTGCCCTATTTGGCTTTCGTCACAATTTATGTGTCTTTCTTTAGAAGAAAATATTAACAAAATATGTTGTTGAAATTTAGTTGACACAGAAAGACCCGGATGTTTTAAGCCCTCTTTAATGCCCCTTAATTACGAGACAATGTTTAGATTGTATAAATCTGTCAGGAAGTGTGTAAAATGAATATAATATAAGAGAATCCTTTAAGAAAGAGAATAGATGGCGTTTAACCCTCAGACGGTCTTCGGTCATTTATGAATTTCTAAAAATCACAGCTTCTTCGGAATGTTATGAAACTTGGTGACTTTTATGGCATTATGTATGTGAATAGAATAAAAAAAAAAAGGGCATGATCCGAGCATGCTAAGTGGTTGTAAAAAAAATAGTCACACTTGTGGTCTTCGGTCAAAAATGACAGACCCATAGGAAATGAATTGGAAATTGACAAAAAAAAAAAATTCTACAAATCGGCCACAATTCTAAAAAAAAAAGTACACCGCAGGAAAGGGGTGACACTCTACAACAGTGGTTCTCAAAGTGGGGTCCGTGTGAATGGGAAATTGACAAAAACACAAAATTTCTCAATTTTTTATTTATTTTTTTACAATTTTTTTTTACAGTTTTTCTCGATTGTTTACACACATTTTCTGAAAGAATCCCTCATATTCTCAGAACTCTACACACAAATCTAAAAACACTCACACACTTGGCAAAACCCCCCAATTCTCCTGCAAAATGAAACTTTACATTCAAAACAATGTTATTTCTTATCAAAATGGTATTTTGTTTTCAAATGACACACACAAACCATCATATGAATAGACATTTATAAGAACCAGTTGAACACTGATGTGCTCAATGTAAAACACTATGATCAATGGAAAACACTTCTTCTCCATTCATCATAATGACTTGGGCCTTTTTTTGTTCAGTGTTACACTTACTACAGACATTACATACATAAGTGTGTTGTAAAATATTTGAGAATATTGTTTTTATACCCAGAACATACAAATACACGGTAACAAATATATTTTATTTTTCCCACAAAATCAATGGGAGATTGATCCCACATTTTGTACACCCCAACCAACAAAAAGTTGCACATACAGTGGTCTACATACAAAACAACAGAATTTTTTATTTTATGTTACAGTAAAAAAAGAAATAAAAAAATATCTATGCTGCATTCTCTCTTTGGTTTTGGTATTTTGTGCTAAAGCTCTGATTGCTAATTGTAAAACTGTGTGACGGGTCAGTGTGAATATTTGAATGGCAGTGTGTTCCTTGTGAAAACAAGAGATTTTCTGCATGAAAACTGTGCCAAATGCAGAGAATTGTGTGTAGTGTTTTGAAAAACGTGTGTTTTAGAACTGCAATTCGAGTGTAAAGCAGGAATTGTGCTTGTAGTTCAGCAGAATTGGTTCAGGGGGTTGGTCAATGAGTTACATGTTGTGGTCATTGTGTCTCAAGTACCAGAAAATGTGTGTAAACAATCGAGAAAAACTGTAATAAGAAATTGTTTTTGAGATTGTTTTAACTATATATTCAAATCCACCAAAACACATATACAAAAATATATATATATATTTCCATGGCAAAAATAGACCATAAATATTGCATAAATATTAATACATTTTGTCTCAAAATACTAAATTAAAAAGAATAAATATTATAGAACAAAAATAAATTGCATTGGTTTTACTGGGATGCAGGAAATTTAATTTTTAGGTGTCCGGTCACTTCTGACCGGGAAGGCGCAGGATGTGACTCCGAAAACGAAGAGCACCTGAGGGTTAAGAACCTTGGCAAACAAGAGCCGCCTTATTCAGATTTTGTATATTTTGTTTATCTTTCCAAAATGAGTGGATTCTATATTTTAAATCCAAATGCATTGTTATCAGAGAAAGTCAGGACTGTCAGTATCAGCGCTGATCTCTGTGTGTGTGATGAGACTAACACTGACCTTAAAGCAGCTTCTCACTGTTGGTTTATTCTCATCTCTGGTTCTCTAATATCTTCCAGCTAAGCCGTCCACTCCACAAAGTCCTTCAACGTCTGAAAGTAAGAATGCAGAGGATACTGAAGCTGATATTCAGATCAATAACAGTAAAAGTGTGACTGATATTGCTTCCATTGTGTTTGTTTGTAATCATCAGCAAACTGTGCACTCTGAACTTGCTTTTATACATGTGGTCACAGCATTAGCAACAAGTGTCTTCAATTTTGAGTCGTTGTGTGTAATGAATGATACCCGGTGTGTTCATTGTGTTCAAACATTGCTGACTGTGGCAAGCATTTTGCCTCACATGAGCTTTCATTTGAGAATATGATCAGAGTTTTTTTGCAACTTGTATTTTAGCAAGGAAAACTGTGTTAAGATATAGTAGAATGGAGGATTGTGTTTTGTGAATTGTGTCTTCATGTGAAATGTGTTTATGATATTGGAAAGTGATGGCTAGATTTAGTAAATGTGTTTATACAACTGGTCATTTGGTTTAGAGGATTGGCTTTTGTGTTTTAGCATTTGAGAAAAACTGTAAGACACTCATGTTGGTCAGACTAATATCAGATGGTCAGTGAACAGACTGTGTGCATCTGAGACTGAGGACAGACTTACAGATTGTTTCTCTTTATCTTTCCGGAATCTGACCGGGAAACTCTCTCTCCTCCTCCAGTCTCAGCGTCTCTGACAGTGTTGATCTCTTCTTCTGCTGTTGCTGGATCTCTGATGATCATTGCTGCTGTTGGGATCTTCTGGATCTGCAGGAAACACAGACAAACAGACCAACAGGGCAAGTGTTTCACTGCTGTTACATCTACGTAAGAAATAGTTACAGTTTTGCTGTTTTAACATGCCTGTCGTTATTATTATTCAACAGTTCAGACCCGTGATGAAGAGATCACTTACGCTGATCCAATGTTCTACAAAAGAAATGCACAAAAACCGGTAAGACAATTCACGTTAGAGTTTACACTGTACAATTTGAGCATTCATAATTGAAGAGGAGTGTATAGGCTATAATGGGTGCCGCCATCCCCGCAGTTCAGAGAATCCCATCTGTCCGATTTTGCAACACGTAAATTCATTCGTTTCTCCCAAAATTCATGAAAGTAAGTTGCCGGTGAACTGTGAGAAGAATAGAGTGACCTTTATAGTTACCTAAACAATGTGTATCTGAAATGAATAACAGTTTTGAAAATAGCCTATAATTAAATTGTATTATAATGGATTATTATTGCCGTTTCCATATAACAGTGTGTATTGTACATCCTATAAAGTATTGTTTTTCTAGTGCTTATGTGTATTTAAATGTCTGAAAGCTAAAATAAACATTATGTGGTTGAAAACACTGCATAGGTTTGATAAATGACAGCGCTGAGTGCCTCTGTCTCTGCTCCAATCAACAGCGATCTGGCAGTTAGGCTATGTCACTGTGCATATAAATAACTATTCCACATGTGAGACTGTAGTCGTACCGCTCTATGGTTAAACATAAATGCATCAACTTTTGCACTAGCACATGCTCTGAGCTACAAAAGCACTAACAGGGCAACAAAAAAAAGAGCTATGGTGAGATATCCACTGTGACCAGAGAGAAAGAGCAGATAAGATCTTAACACTTCACTCAAAAATAACTGTAAAAACACTACATGTGTTGTCGCTCAGGGTGTTTCTGCTGAAATAAACACAGCTAGAGCTGCTATAAGTTTGAGTTTCCTGTAACACTGAAAGCTGAATTTATTTCTGCAAATTTAAACATGGGAAAGACATTTCAACATTTACTTTCAAATTTCTATGTTTTATTTAAAGTGATTATATATATATATATATATATATATATATATATATATATATAATCAAAATATAAATGAAAGTCAAAAACCCATTTTTAGTCATACCTGGAAACAAATCCTGGTGAAATGTTATACGGGCCATTGTGTAGAATTGGTTCAAAGTTTGAGTTGGAAACATCTTGAAAATAAAATTCCTTTTCCATATAAAGTATTCTTTTTAAAGTAGGCCATTTACATTTTATCATACATTATTTTGATGTGCATTGCATTAGCTTGCATTGGATAACAGTTGATTAGTTTATTTTTGACAAAACATACTATATATTTAACATATGAGCAGAAACAGATACAGTTCCTCAGGAAACTGGGCTTCCGGAACAAAAAACTGTGAAGACATGTTTGTGTATGTAGAGAATGAGTGTGAAAACCAGGACCTTCATTAGAAATATTGCTTTTTAGTCAAACCTGCATGAAACAACTTACCAAAAAATGGTAAAACTACACAGAATTGAGAGTAAAATAGTTAAATAGAGCCTAATGTTCAATGGTGACATGAAAGTGAACATTTTAAGAATGTTTAATTTAATAATTTACAGTAAAAAATAAAAATCATGTTTCTCTTGAATATGCATTCATTAAAATACATGTTTTAAAATGTGCGTTTAAAATGTAGTTTTTATGACTGTTGTAGTATGAGGGATTTCTTTGGTTTTCTTTAGTGATAAGAACTGTTCTTGAAAAGCATCCTACTCTGATACTTATGCATTCATCTCTGTAACTTTTGTGTTTGTTTTATTTCAGACTGGTACACAGGAGGAAGAGGTGGTGTACGCAGGTGTCGTCACGAGACGTTAATCCAATTCTTTATGATAAGGGGTTTTTTTTATTTTTATTTTTTTATGGCGTTTTGATTTAAGGCAACGTACACACTGCAGCTAAACTCAGTTGTCAATTCACCATTTAGTGCTAACACACAGTTCAGTAATTTACGGGGGCTACAATATCCCTTGTGTTATGTTGGATTTCTGTGTACACCCCTTATGGTTCGGGTCAAATTGACCCTAATTGGATTCAATACAATTCCTCAAAAATCAGGTTCAAGATTCAGGTTCAAACTGTAAACTTTTAATATCAACATTTTTCAAATATTCCAAAAAATATATATCTGAAGATATGATTTAATGAACATGTTTTTTAACCATTTTTTAAAACTGTTTTGTTTTGACAAAATTTGAAAATGAACAGAAACCAGACATAACAAAAACATACATCAAATAAATGTTTTTTATTTATTTTTTTGGGTCTGTGAAGCTGCCTTTGAAATACCTAGCTTTTAACCAAACCTTATATGTAGGATTTTCAGACACCAAGAGAGCTTAAAAATGAGAGCTTATTTTACTATCTGTGTCTGTCAAAGATTTTCATTTGTAATTTGCAATTAATTCTGAACACCATTATTTAGCTTTTTTCAAGTTTGGTTAGGGTTAGAGCACTTTTAGATACACTTACACTTTAGAACTGGAGTTGATGCCCTGACATACATAAAATAAATGTTTTTATTTTGTGTCTGTACAGTTGCTTTTGAATAGCTGCCTATAAGGGTCAAACTGACCCGCGAACATCACAAACGTAATAGTAATTTAGTTTGTATATTTCAAAAAACACCAGCATGTTGAAACTTTGCATGCATGTTCATGATGATAAATGAGAAAAAGTCACAAATATCAAGAAAAAAAAAACCAAAGGGTTAATATTATTTCAGGTAGCTTGAAAATATAAATGAAAGGTAATTTTTACCATCTGTGGCTGACACAATATTTTTCTGTATTGAAATAAGTGTGGAAAAGCAATTTTTTTAGCTTCATAAGGTAGTAAAAAAATAAAATAACAAAATATAAACAATAAATGTTATTATTTTGGGTCGGTACAGTTGCATTAGAGCGTTAAAATATGCGGGTCAAATTGACCCGTGAACATCACGAACGTAATAGTAATTTTGTTTGTATATGTCAAAAAACACCAGCATGTTGAAACTTTGCATGTATGTTCATGATGATAAATGAGAAAAAGTCACAAAATATCAAGAAAAAAAAACAAAGGTTTAATAATATATCAGGTAACTTGAAAAAATAAATGAAAGGTAATTTTTACCATCTGTGGCTGACAAAATATTTTTCTGTATTGAAATAAGTGTGGAAACCCTCATTTTTTAGCTTCATAAGGTAGTAAAAAGATAAAATAACAAAATATAACCAATAAATATTATTATTTTGGGTCGGTACAGTTGCATTAGAGCGTTAAAATATGCGGGTCAAATTGACCCGCGAACATCACGAACGTAATAGTAATTATGTTTGTACATGTCAAAAAACACCAGCATGTTGAAACTTTGCATGCATGTTCATGAGGATAAATGAGAAAAAGTCACAAAATATCAAGAAAAAATATATAGGTTAACCAGTATTTCCAACAACTAGAAAATCTAAACGGGTCAAATTGACCCGCAACATAACACAAGGGATATACAATAGTAGTCTAATAAATTTTAAGTGACCACCGCATTTACACAAATTCTATGCAGTAGGCTATACTGAACCAAACTGAACAACTAGTTGTTAATGATGTATATAGATTTAAAAGAGAAGTGTCTGTTTGCTTCTCTTTTAATGTAAGGCCGTGTGTCCACCAAAGGGTTTTTCTACGTGCCTAGCATATTTTTTCAATTGTTTTCAATGGAAGCCGCGTTTTTTAAAAGCCATGAGTGTAAAGAGGCGCTGAGCAGTTTTTTCACGCTGAAGCTCTGAGCGCTCGGCATTACCGGTCGCTGAGAGTTGAAAAATGTTTAGGCCGTGTGTCCACCAAAGCGTTTTTTAGCCAGCTGAGTGCTTGAGAGCGTTTTGGCAGCCCAGTGTTTTTTTCCGTTGAGGTGTTTCATTGCTATGATCCAGAATATCCGCAGTACAGTTTACTTGTAACTGATTTTGCAGATATTTTTTCCATCCTAAAATTTTTTCTCTCATACTCTCTAAAAAATAGTGGTGGAATGTAACGAAGTACAAATACTTCGTTACTTTACTTAAGTACATTTTTCACGTATCTTTACTTTACTTAAGTACAATAAATAGTGCCTACTTTTTACTTTTACTTCGTTACATTTTGCAGCAATTATTATACTTTCTACTCCACTACATTTCTACAACTTCTGTTACATTTTCGTTACATTTTCTGATCAGTTTTTCCCCTGCCAAAACGTAATCTGACCGTCCGTTCGTTGCACGTTTGTCTCACCAGTGACGTTTGGTTGCCATAGATACAGTATATCAACCCGGTCACACTAAATGCGTCTCACACGCAGTGTGTTTATCATGCAACTCATACGCGAAAATTTGTTTTTACGTGCATAGGAAACACACCGTGTGTAATATATGTTTGGTTTGGTTAGGATTATGGCAAGCCAAGAGGTTCAGAATTACACCATAAATGAATCGCGTTTACTGCCAAACATAGTTATTAACATATAGTAAGGATAAGCATGATATTGCCTAATTGCAAGCTTGTTTCAGAAATGGTGACATTTTTTTTCCATCATTATTGAACATCATTATAGGAGTAGGCTATTAGGTTGAATGAGTTAGAATTAAATGTTTTATTAATCATTAGAAAATAGACATTAAGATAATAAATTGTTATGCATGTACTTTTACTTTTAATACTTAAAGTACATTTAAAATAAAGTACTTTTTACTTTTTACTTAAGTATGGTTGTCATTGTGTTACTTCTACTTTTACTAAAGTAAATATTTATCTGGGTATTTGTACTTTTACTTAAGTACTGAGATTCAGTACTTCCTCCACCACTGCTAAAAAAAAAGAGTATAATGTCTTGTTATCCGGCTCACGCCAATGGTGTTTTAAGTGTTGAGAAAGTGCCCAAACCCCAGTGTTCACACAAGCACAACACTTCC